TGCTCCAGCATCCTCTCACATCTGGTGTATCAGCATCCCCATGCTTAAAAATGGCAGCGGGGGCACTTGAACTAAAGCTTGAATGAGCTTTAGTTCAAGTGCTTCTCGCCACCATTTTTAAGCGTGGGGATGCTGATACATGAGACACTGAAGCACTTTAATTAGAGTGCTTCTTGGAGTTGCCTTAATTAAAGCATTGCTCCCCTCCCCCAAAGCATGTGTGAAAGTGCCCAGTAAGCCCAGTTCCCTCAGCCTCTCCTCATAAGCCATGTTCCCCAGCTCTCAAACCATATGCATTTCCCTCTGCTGGACTCTCCAATTTGTCCACATCCTTTTTGTAGTGCGCAGGGGGGGAGGGCAAAACTGGACACAGTACTACATATGTGGCCTTAGCAGTGCAGAGTAAAGGGGAATAATTACTTCCCTCTATCCGCTGGCGACACTCCTAGTAACGCAGCCCAGCTTCAAAAATAATTTGATTGGATTCAGTTGAACTTGTTTAAACTTTCACAACCCCTTTTTGATTTTTTTGTGTGGTGCTGCCACCATAAAATAAGATCACAAGGTAACATCTCTGCTTCTTTCTAAATGACAAGCTCACGCTAAAAAAAAAAATCTTAGCTCGACCTTTTCTGCACTTGATGGGAGTAATTTAGCAAACTCTCTTAAAAGCCGATCCACCAGCAGAAACGATTCCATATATAGCTCTGGAACCCGAAATTGCAAGTTTGTAAGACCAAAAAATTTGCATCAGCATGGACACAGAAGTGAAACACCCTGCACATATGTTGCGTTCTCAGCCTATTTTGTGCTTGGTGAGGGGAAGAAAAGGCAGGGCTGGGCTGTGTTGCAAACACTGCCTCACCACAAGGCAGATCTGATTCTCCTCTGAGACTGCTAGGGTTAGCAGCTTTGGAGGCAACAGCTTGACTCCGGTCAGGAAATAGCACCTTGCAAAGAACCCCAAGGAATGAGAGGAAAAGGGGATCCCTTCCTCAGAGCCAGTTGCTGGGCAGCAAGAGGAAGATGGGGAGCACTGTGGAAGCTGGGGGGAAAGGGGGTTAAACCAGTTTTAGAAAGGACCAGCTGGATCCTCATTTCCCCCTCAGAGTCTGAAAGCAGGGTTTAAATTAAAATGCACAGCCCTACAAGAGGGAGAGGTGGGCTTAGCCAGGGGGGCAGAGCGGCTGCCGTCAGGGAGTGTCCCTGGGGCTCCACCGAGACGCGGAGTCCGCGGGGCTTGGTTGCAATGCACGTCACTTTGGAGAGAGGCGAAGATGAATTCTCCGAGCAGACGAAAGCAGCTCCCCCACCCCGCGAAGCAGGCGGGGCGGGGTCGCCTCTGGCCTGCAGGGGCAGCGACCCGCGCTGAGTCTGGGCAGGCCCGCAGGTGCAGGCGGCTGTCCCTGGGGCTCCACCGAGACGCGGAGTCCGCGGGGCTTGGTTGCAATGCACGTCACTTTGGAGAGAGGCGAAGATGAATTCTCCGAGCAGACGAAAGCAGCTCCCCCACCCCGCGAAGCAGGCGGGGCGGGGTCGCCTCTGGCCTGCAGGGGCAGCGACCCGCGCTGAGTCTGGGCAGGCCCGCAGGTGCAGGCGGCCCAGCGCCCGGCAGGGGGCGTCATTGCCACGCGGCTGTGAGGCGAGGAGGGGGCGGCGGCGGCGGGGAAGGCTGCATCGCAGCTTGGTTGTTGCCTAGGCCCTGTCCCCGCTGCCCCCTTGGCGGGAGAAGGGGGGCACGCTCGCCCGTAGGGCACTAGAGGCAGCGGCGCCGACCGGAGGGGCTTCCGGGATGCAGGGCAGCCCCTCCTTC